CAATTCAATTACCATATCAAACAACTCCCCTTGAAAATATCTCTAGGGAATTCAGCTTAACATGGGCTCCCCAACTAAGGGTATTCCAGTCCCAATTGATTTCTAATGACAAATCCAACTCCAACTCCCACACTCATCGCTCTTCATTTGCCAAACTCTATTTAATTGCCGCTGACAGCTCTTGTGGCACAGAAACTATAACCAGGAAAGTTAAGCGAAATAAATATTGTGAAAGCACGCATACGACCCGTTGTACGGAGCAAATAAACTGCCTCTGCATATGTATGTTATGCATAAAGAAGAGAGAAAGGCTCTCGTTAAGCTTTATTCCATGCGTTATCTTATCGCCTTTGAGTTTATGAAGAAGCCAATAGATATTTATGGGTAAACTGGGTAGCCGATAGCATTACATTATATTCAAGAAGCTGCGGTCTTTGTGCCTCTGTGTGTGTGGGACGCAATAAATATTTCGCCAGTTTGCCTGGAGCGGGTCTCGTGCCTTTGGCCAAGCCCAGCGGAATCAATTTATTGCAATTATGTGTAAATTGAGGCACAAAGCCAATCCAGACGCAGATCTCAAGTAACAAGTGCAAGCAACGAGCACCCGCCAGGCACTTGTCACCATCGCATCACGGGCTGCCTGCCCGCAGCTGGTGCGTGGGCGGCGGCGTATAAGAAGTCAATGGAGTGGGGGCCAATGAACGGCTTCTGAGCTGCTGAGCTGCTATCCGGGCATTTCAAAACTTGAAAACTCAATAATAAAGCGAATAACTGAGCTCTCGCTGTCAATGCCAGATGGGCAGATACCTCGTGATTGAAACTTGCCCAAATTGGAATTACCTTTGAATTATGCTAAGAAAACTATTACCTAAATCGATTTTTATCGATATTATCTAAAGGAAAGAGAAGACATTCATAGAAAAAAAAAGAAATGTTAAGCAAATAAAGAGTAAGGTTGAAGTAAGAAAAAGAACTTATATTCAAATCAATAATAAAAATGTTTATTATCGGTTTTTATCGATAACTTATAATAACTAGAAACAAAACATATTGATAAAGAAATGTTGTGCAAACAACGGGCAACTCATGAGAAGGTAGATGGCGCAATGCTAAACAAACCAAGCTCTAAGTCGATTTTTATCGATATTTAAATAAAGAGCAAAACTATTGATCAACAAATGATAAAGACAAAAGAAGAATGATAAACACTGATGAGGAAAGCAGGAAGAAGGCTCTAAATATGCATAAGACTTTAATTATGCCTAACAAAGAATTTGGTATCGATTCTTATCGATAATAGAAAAAAACTAGAAGAGGATTAGATAGATACATAATAGACAATGGTGAGGAAAGAAGGAATAAATGTCTGAATTTGTACTACCTCAAATTATGCTTAATAAGCCATATGCCAAAATCGATTTTTATCGATATTACAATTAAGAGAACAGGCGACAAATTAAAAGATAAATGATGATATGCAATCAAATAGGGGAAGTTAGTTAAGCGTTTTCAGTTGTCAAGTTATGTTAAAGAGAGCAAGTCTTAAAATCGATTTGTTATCGATACCAAATAGAAATGTACAGCTGATATACCCCACTCGAACAGCGCCAACTGCTGCTGGGCATAATGAAAAGAGCAGCTAGCTGGATTCGTTGAAATATATGCACATGATTTAGAGAGTTGTTTAGGGTTTCATTGAAATGCATACGGAGCGGGCTCCACTCGTGCGGCTCTGCCTGCCTTTTGGGTCGCTCAAGCTTCTGGTTCGGCTTGAGCTGCTGCTTCAGTTTCTGCTTCTGTTTCAGTTTCAATTTAATTAAATGTTTTGATGCATGACAGCAGCAGAAAATACGAGCACACGATACGGCATTCATTCTAATTCGTTTAAGGACCTTTCCGCTGACTGAATATCTGCTGAAAGTATTTCGTGGCTGTGGCCGAGCCAGTGGCCGAGGCATAGGCATTAAATTCAACCAATGGACACACGACTAGGTGCCCAAAAAGCAATTCGTGTTGAAAGCATTTCCGTTTGCGCTCAGCTGCTCGTGGTTTTGATGCCCGCTCGCGGCTAGGGTAAAGCGGGTATATTGTTGTTCAGTTATTTATGGCTGACGATAGGCCGTGCTTAGAGCTGGAATCACCTTCGACCTCTCCCACAGATTATATGCTCACGCCCTTAGATAGAGGCCTGGCTCTGGCCCAGTTATAGAACTCCTCTAGAGCTACACAAATATATCTTAGCTCAATCACGCTGTGCTTGTACTAGGCGCGCGTATCAAGCAGTCGGTCAGACCCCACTGCAATGCACATTAGGTTCGTCCGCTGGCTGGTTGCCTGGTTGGCTTGCTGCTTGTTTGGCCTATTGGTCCCTCCGCCTGCTTTGCCTAAATGAAGCCATAGTTCACGGTTGAGTGGTTTAGTGGCTCGGCTGTGTGTGGTTTTGTGGTGCGCAGTGGTTCCACTGGCTCAGTTGCCTCTGCAAAAAGGAATCAAAGCAAACGGCCCTCATTTAGCACATTAAATATTTAGAGCGCAGACGAGCGACTGCTGCTGGCTTGTTCTCTGATTGTTTTACGAGATTTGTTGCCACTAAAAGTCAGCTAGAATAAACACACACAAACACACACGCACACACACAGGACATGGGACATGGAAAGCAGAGATCGAGCTGCGCCCAGCGCTCACACCTTGAATAACTTCCTTTGCGCTGCAATTGCAGTTGGAGACTTGAAATTTGGAATACTTACTTCATATAATATCTACTTCATATATGATATACTGCATATAGATAACAGCCGACTTGGCCTATACACTATATAGATCAATGCCTTTGGGAACGTGGTAAGCTGCAAGCACTCTCCACGGCTTCCCTTATTTTAGGGGCAACTTTTGTAGACAGCTCCCAGTTGACTCTAAGCACAGTTAAACACTTGGACTATATGAGGTGTTCAAAGGGGCGTGGCATATCGATATATATGAAATTGTCCTTGGGAAACTTCCATCTGCTGCCAAAGCTGCTGGAAGCGCCAACAACTGGCACAGGCAATGGGTCTATGCATCGGAACGAGCAGATGTGAGGCAACAAGCCTAAAGCTCCAGCGGCGCCTTTTCAACTGTAATTATGATGAAGCTCTTCCAGCTGACGAGCTAAGAAGGCTTAGCGAAAGTAGCGCAAGGCATTGCCATTGCCATTGCCATTGACAATGCCATTGCTTTGCCTCAACGTTCCGCGAAACCAAGAATTCAAATATATAGAAAAAGACTCACACACACACACACACACATACACACCTACACACACCCACTCACAGAAACACTTTAATTTTGAGTTCAATTTGCCTGAAATTTCAAACTGATTTGAATTCACTTGAAACAAATTTCACTATTTTCATAGATTTGTTCACAAATGGTTAAGTGAGTATATTGGCTTTCTAGCACCTCCGCCTTGCTCTGCACTCGCCTCTTTAGCAGCTAACGGCAACTGTAATCGACATTGCCCAGCTCCATGATTAAAACTTTGAATACAAGTTCGACTCCTTCACAGTCAGATCTATAAATGGAATTCTACGCCTACATCTATGGGCGTGGCACACAGGCAGTCAGCTATGCCCGCTTTACATTATTTTTCGCTTTCAGTAAGCTTTTTGGCAAGCTCTATGATTATAGAGCAATTATCGCCAATGAAAACTATTTCCAACGCGGAATTTACACATCAATTAGGGCTAATAAAAAGCTGCGCTTAGCTAAACTCAATATGCACATGCGGCCAGTGGGCGTGGCAACAGAAACGGAGAAACACTTTAGCGATAGAGGGCATATCTATCTAGAGATAGATATGAGTCATCGGAGTTCGAATTCCACATAGATAAAGCAACACAATCAATATACTCCGCTGGCACAGCTCGAGCGAGTATCAGAAAATGAATATGCTCAGTTTTGACATTTCACTGAAATGGAATAAAACCTTCAAAATCTCTTCGCTCTCAGTGAACGAGCAAATGGACACAAATATGCTCTCTTTTTGAGCGAGTATTGTAAAATGAATATACTCTTAGCATACTCAATGGGCGCAAGTGTAGTATAATAACTGTTAATCAATGCAGATTTTCACTCTTAACACAATACCTATATACTTTTCCTGCTCAAAATAAACGATCATCATAGAACGAATACTCTCCTTTTACATCTCGAACGAGCATAGCGATGCAAAATGCCCACTTTTCAGTCTGTCAATTCGAAATACTCTTCGGTTTCAATACTCAATCTTCGATTGAGTGTGACATAGCAACTATGCTGTCTTTTGATAACGTGAACGAGTATAATTCAACCAATATACCCACTTTTCGCTCCCCCTATCAGGCTTCATCAATACTTGAGCTCGTCAATTGAAAAGTTAAAGAATTCAATGACGATTTTCTCACTTGATTTCTCTTCTAATTGCACTCAATTAAGGGAAGCCACAGGAATCCAAGGATGCGATGGGGCGTATCTAATATTCGATGCTCGCTTCAGGTGATTTTACACTCGATTGGAAGGCAAATCGAGTGGAAGAGCAAGAGAACACCAGATTGAGAATCTGAAAATTGAAACTGAAACTAAAACTGAAACTGTGAAAATTCCACTGAGCTGAACTTTTGCAACATTTTTTTGTATCTTTGAATAACTCAGTTATTATTTATCTAGTAATTTGAGTGGATTATGGATGCATTATTAGGCACTTCCTGTCGGGTCGAGAGCTGGAATATTTTTTACGTTTTCATTTAAATTTTGCATTTGAATTGTCAGTTTTATTTGTGTAATTTAAGCTGCTCAAATAACAAATTCTGTGAAGTGTTTAGCAAAGCTTGCTGAAGGCTTCACTGTACAGGTTGCCTCAAATTTACTATAAAAATATTTGCGCAGCAAAAAAACAAAAATATTTTTAGTTTTCTTTTCCAATTTGTTTAATTTTTTTGTGTGATGAATTTTCGTTTTTCTTCTCGGGTTTTCCGTTTACTTACCGTAAAACTTGCTTTGAAAGCTAAACACATTTTTTATTTATAAATTTGGTTATTTTGCTTATTTTTTTGGGATTTTTTGGTAATTTTTATAGCCAGAAATTAAATAAACAAATTTTCACACACTATTTAAATGTTTAATTTAGGTTTGTTTTTTTAATATTTGAAAAATGGAATTACGTTTCGAGAAATGTTGCCGCCGGCATTTTCCTTGGTCAAGTACATTTTCCCATAAGACGCGTCTACCGACTTTTCGAACTGTTCGCGCGCGAGTTTTCCATGAAACTGCGAACGCCAACGCTGCCCCAATGCTCGTACAGTGCCAGCGCTCGGTATGCTGCCAAGGCAGACGAAGCAGCGCAGCAAGCAGCGAACGGCGAGCAGAGGCAGCGGCAGAGACAGCTTGTTGCTAACTATTTGCTGTCGCTTGTTGCTGCTGCTGCTACTGCTGCTGCTGTTGGGAATTTTATGGCAAATAATTGTCCAACAAAAGACTTAGTGAAATTTCCCTTTCTTACCGCCCAGCACGCTAACGCAACATACTAATTCATTTTGCCTATAAATAGTACTAAAAAGAACTGCATATATGTAATGCCAAATGCAAATGAATGCCGTTACACTTGAACAGTGTTGCCGTGCTGCACGCACATTGCCTACTACTTTTTGGCCTGCGTCTGCGCTTTGCTCAGCTCTGCACGCTTTTTGCGCTCTCTCTGTTTTCATACGCACATTCGTAAACAGAGCACGCCAGCACGTGTGAAAAGCAGCAAAAGGCAAATTCAAATTGCTAACCACATGCGGCGCTTCTGCTTGCTGTATATGCATGTGTGTGTGTAACTATCTCTATGTTCGCGTGTGTAAGAGTTTGTTGCTTTTGCTGGCGGCACCAAATGTCTTGTGTCATTGGCAAAAGGCAGCTGCAGATGCGCGGCTACAGCCAAAAATGCCTTAGGTAAGCAACATTAAAGCATATGAGAATACAAAAAAAAACAGAATACTTTTCGCTTCAAGATGTGTAGCTACCCTGTATTCAGCTCGGCGAGGCCTTAACAATTATTCGTTCTTCAATTTGCGTGCGCCTTTAGTTACTTCTTCTCACAGTCTCTCAAATAGGGATCTAAATAATAATAATTCATAAAGTACCTTAAGTTTCCTGGCTATTAAATGTACCCTAAAACAAGACAATGTATCTATATGTATGCACACCATATATACGCAGCATTTACTATATACAAATTGTGCCTCAATATTCATATATATTGTATACCATTCCATGTACCATTCATAAGTTGCCATGTATTTAACGTACCTAAGCATTTACTATTCGAAATGTACCATCGTAAACACATCGCACTAAAAAGTGTACCTTTTATAGAGCATCATTAATACAATGTACCATTGATAACATTTTGCAAATGTACCATTCTCAAGTGTACCATACATCATATACCAAATGTATTATGTACCATTTATAATATCCCATAGGTCCCAATGAACAGCGATATATGTGCACAGTTGAACCAATATACCCAGCCTTCGAGCAAGTAGAGAGTATAAAGAAAACATTCAGAGTTCTAATCAGAAATCGTCGAGTAGTTCGAACTGGATGTGTGTGGCCTTGCCTGAGGCGCTTTTAATGTGCTGGCTGAGATGAAAAACGCATTGCAGCCGCGTGGCTGGCACTGATTGGGCTGCTGAGAAGACAAATTCGTCGACGCATTGACAGTGTCCAATCCATCAATACATCAATCATCAATCATTTGGTCACGCCACATCACCTGCCCCAATATGCACTTTTTGCGAGTTGCAACTTAAGTGCAAAATCTCATGCAGCGCACGTGGCGTATGCGCAATGTCAAGCTAGCAGCTTGCCCCTAGCTACTTGCTGGCAGATGCTCTGCAGCGCTGCGCTGATGACCCATATTTAATCAACAGTAATGGCACTGGCCTTCGCACTGCTCCACCCCTCAGCCCTGAACCTGCCCCCTCCCACCACCCACTCCATTTATCAGTGTCCTTAATGATAATCTGTTTGGAAAATTTTAAGCATTTTTATACCCTGAGCTCATTAAATATGGCATTGCAAGGTGTATTGGTTCTAGGCGAAAGCAGATAAAAAATTTATTAAATATTGATATATATGTATATATATAATATATAATATATCGATTAGCTAATTTATCTCAGTTGATAAGCTCCTCCGTCTGTTTATCTATAAATATTATTATTATCTATTATAAGTATAGTATTAGCTTAGCACACATTCATCACTTTTATGGATAACTCATTCCATTTGCTCAATATCGATAAATATCGATATTTAAATTTAGTTCTTTAAGCATAAATTGAAGACCACAATAACTAGAGACTTTAAATGTACTTTGTAGCTTACGCTAAGGAATAGACAGAGTAGAAGTGTTTCAGATTTGGTATACCGCGCCCATTTCTCAAATAATTAAAATTCAAAGCGCATTTCATATACTAGAGACTTGAGCTTTGGTATACGCAAACGCCCGAATGTCAGAATTACGCTGGGAAATTTTCATTAAGATCAAACAACTAGAAGCCAAGTTCAATCAGACTAGTCTCATAGAATGTAAGACTAACTAGAGTATGTAAGTCTAAGCAACAGCTTTAAGCAGACCTCAGTGAGGTATCTTAGTCGTGCACTCCCCACTGGAGCACGGCAATTCGCCTTTGTTTTTTCCTTTTTGGGTGCTAAATAGCGACAGGGTGTGACGTGACAGGGACAGCTCAACATGTTTTTGATTGATGGGCAGGCTTGTCGCTTGGCCTGGCTTCTGTGCCTGATGGCCTTTCATAGAGACTTACGTAAATCATAAAATAATAAAAATTTAATTTGGAACAGGATATCCTGTTGCGCTCCTCTCAGCACTCATAAATAAAGTACTTAGTCCGAAATTTAGTGAAATTCAGTGAAATTCAGCGAAATTCGGCAGTAATTTAATATAGAATATGTTTACAATTAAATTCAATGCCAACGCGTTTCATTACCCCAGATTTAATCAAATTAATAACAACTTTCATAATAATCTGTTGTTTCCGTTTTATTTTAGATGCCCTCGAGACATACGCGAACAGCAAGGGGTATATTGTTATCTTGGGTATGCACGTAACGGTTAGCAGGGAAATATATTTGTGACGCATGATTGCCTAATGAGTTCATTAACTAAGCTATGTCTGACAGTCTGTCTATCGATATTTCAATTTGGAGTTCATTTTTTGCACATAACTGGAAAACTATTGGAGATAGGTATATGAAAATTGGTATGTAGCCTCTTGTGTATCGTAGGCTTACTAAGAATATTTCACTTTTGAAATACCAGACTCTATACCAACACATACGAGTGGGATCACAAAATGATAATGAAGAAAATGAGTCAGGAATAGCTCGAAATGTATACATCTATATATATATCATAGATTGAAAGACCTAATAATTATTTGTTATCGATAACAGCACATTTGTCAATCTAACATCGACAAAATTCGATTTTGAGTTTTGATTCTTTGTACATAGCTCGAAGACTACTGAAGATAGAAACATGCAATTTGATATGTAGACTATTAACTAGTGTAGCCATAGTAAGATTGTTTCACTTTTGAAAATTTCTATTCATATGCCCCCACAGCGAGGCTGGTCTACACACTAGCTTGGCATATGCTTAGAGAGGAGCTAACTCTATCTAACCAACATGCATTTGAATGTCTTATTCATAATACTCAATCTATTTACGTAATACCGATCAAATGGACATTGATGTCTAGTTCTTAGCTTAACTCGAAGATTAAACAAGCTAAGGGATAAAATTTGGTCTCTAGATAAGGATAATTTCAGACTTAAGCAGCTTGAGCCTTTCGCCCAGATATATATAGCAAGCCTCTTCACTGGGCTCAGGGTGCGGCCCAGTCGAGCATACCCGCCTAGAGCATGGCCTAGCAACCTTCGATTTAGGCAAAAGCTGCTTATATTTGGCCGGGACTTAGCTGCCTGGCAACCAGTCGGCTATTAAAGTCGCCATCTGTTAGTTTTCCGAGGCGGGCAGGTGGGCTGAGTGTGCCCAGGTGTGCAGGTGCGATTTGAAAACTCCGAAACACTTTGATTTACGGCTAATAAACTGCATGAAGGCATAAACAGGACCAAGTGAGGAAACTTTATTAAAATATGCATCGGTGTCAATAAGAGGGCGCTCGCTTCTGTTGATCCCCTTCTGCCACTCTCAATTTTTGCTGCAGCTTCATTAGCAAAGGTTCAATTTCCATAAACCATAAAGTTTGCCTTAGTTCCAGAGAGGTGGCGTGGCGGCGGCTGGAGAGCGGCGTGGCTCGTAAAAAGTAAAAGCTGTGCCAAAACAAACAATTTGGAGTGCTCTAGTCGGGTGTGCATGACGAGTTGATGCCCTGCACTGCGCTGAGATTCTTCGAGTCATGTATGGACAGTGGAAGAGTCGGAGGGATGGATGGCGGAATGGATAGTGGAACGGACACAGAAAGTTAGATGCAGACAGTTAGACGTACAATGGGAGGGACAATCGGACCGAGAATTGGAGGGACAGTCGGAGGAACAGTAGGAAGGACAGTCGGACAGACAGTCGGAGGGATAATCGGACGAAGGGTTGGAGGGACAGTCGGAGGAACAGTAGGAAGGACAGTCGGACGAATAGTAAGAAGGACAGTCGGAAAGACAGTCAGATAGACAGTCGGAGGGACAATCGGACCGAGAATTGGAGGCACAGTCGGAGGAACAGTAGGAAGGACAGTCGGACGAATAGTAAGAAGGAGATTCAGAGAGACAGTCGGAGGGACAGTCTGAAAGACAGTCAGATAGACAGTTACACCTAATCAAGCCTATATTTAATATATATATATGACTTCGGCCACGCCTTCTTCAGGCATGTTACATACATTTTCCCACAGCCCATATACCCTGTTCAGGCACTTCCCTTGAGCTCGGCGCATAGAAAAAAGGGAAGCAGCAAATCAAATACCAAATGAAGGCGCAACACGAAAACTTTTTCGGCAATACACACACATGACTGTGTGTGTGTATGTGTGTGGGTGTGTGT